ACGCACCTGCTTTGTTATGAGAAGGGGCTTCGGGTGGTAGTGATTGTTTTCAAGGTGACGGATTTCAGGATTGAAAAATTGTATAGACCGAACGTTAAAAGCGGACTGTATCCGGGCGTGTGGGAGGGAATCCTGGGTATCACAGCGAAACATGCATTTCCCTCGTGTTTCTGCCTTATTGTTGAATTTGCATTTGCACCAGCGAGTCGGGAACGGCGCTAAGTGCTAAATAATTCCACGCTATGTTTATTGATCCTCAACAGTGAACTGGAGTGGATGTGCAAAGCAATTCTACCAAGAGAAACACACGGTTTCCATACGGACGCAAATTGTGTGATATTATGCGAGATAAGGGACATAGTTTTAGTGCTAAAATGAGCCCTTCCGCAGCTTCACCCAGTCTTTTTTTCCTTTTCGTCTAGAAAACGGTAAAAATCTGTATTTTAGGAATTTTTCATGTGATCTCAGACATACAGGGTGGGCCATTAGTGTGAAAAAGTAAAATAACTCCCTTGTTACTCATGATACAGAAAAAAAGTTTATATAAAAGTTGTACAGAATGAAGAAACCTAAAGGACAAAATTAATTTGAAATACACAGGACGATGAGTAAAAACGGGACACGCCAAATATTACATTTTTAAACATGGATTTTCGAGAAAATTCTGTACATGGCAATATAAACAGTTTAATATTTTAGTGCGCGGTTGCCAAGTTATGTAGAAAATTCTTCGAATTTTGGAAAAAACATGACCTCGAAGAAGTTTTATTAACTTTCAATTACTAACACTTGGAGCAAAAATATTTGACGGAGTTGTAGGCAAATGTTAGGCAAAGACTCCTGTATTAGCTAATATCGATATTTTGTACAGGGCACTTTTTATATATGGCTTTGGAAAAAACTGTCACATTGTGTCAACTTGTCAGTTCATAATTTATCATTCCATTTTGAGTTAATTTTATTAGTTAATATTTGTTTGTGGTATTCTATAAAATAATAAAAATTAAATTTTTTCGGAAATGTTGCTATATCTTAAAAATTAACAATTTTAGATATAGAACATGCTTAATAAAAGTTGAAGTGGACCGATATGTGAATAAAATAGAACAATAAAATACAGGGTGTTTCATTTGAAAAATTTTAGAAAATCAAGTTTAAAGTCTAAAAATGATCGTATTATAAAAAATATCGATGTTAGCTAATATAGGAGCCTTTGTCTAACATTTGCCTATAACTGTGTCTAATTATTTTGTTCCAAGTGTTAGTAGCTGAAAATTAATACATCTTCTTCGAGGTCATGTTTTTTCCAAAATTCGAAGAATTTTCTACATAACTTGGCAACCCCGCAATAAAATGATAAACTGTTTATATTGCCATATACAGAATTTTCTCGGAAATTCATGTTTAAAAATATACAGGGTGTTGATCCATTTAAGAAACGTAATATTTGGCGTGTCCCGTTTTTACCCATCACCCTGTACGTATCAAATTAATTTGGTAGTTTAGGTTTCTTGATTCTGTATAACTTTTATATAGACTTTTTTTCTGTACTATGAGGAACAAGGGAGTTATTTTACTTTCTCACACTAATGGCCCACCCTGTATACAGGGTGTTTATTAAGTAGGGGTAAAAAATCCAGGGGCGTATTCTGTGGCCAAAAATAAGAATTGTTTGTTATATAAATGTGGGGTCTTAGAACAGCCATTGTCCAGGTACAGCGTGTCAAAAATTGAAAATTAAACAGTTTTTAATTTTTAATTTCTAAACGGCTTGAAATAATTTAACCGAATTCGGTGTGCATGTTTAGTATGACAATAGATATGAAACAAAAAATGACCAGCTTTAGAAATTTAGAAGTGACGAAAGTGTCGTTATCATCGATCATTATTTGCCAAAAAAAATATCACCCTGTATAATACTACAAATAAAATAAGTTTCCATATTCACTTTTTGTTTCTTCACACCGGAAGTCGCCCTCTTCTTGCTTATATCAAATGGAACGCCCTGTATATTATTAATTATCTATAAGATCAATTAAAAATAAGTAAAAATTGTTATAGGTTCCTTGTCCCTAAATTTAACCCTTTTCGAGATAATCGCCATTTTATAAAAATTCTGATAGATGTGAACGTTTGTTCTGGAAGCTTTCACTTGCTTTTCGGAATACACAAAGAACATAAGATGCACTTACATTCCACTATAGTCTGTTTAGAAATGAAAGAGAGTAATAAAAGCTTATTATGTATGCAAATCGTAAATAAATGTAGTACTGGTGCTTATATTCAATATTTTTATATTATGTATTATCGGTATAGATGAGGTGTACTTTTAAAAAAACTTTGTGTGACCGGGTTGTACTAAATTGTAGCAGGTAGCTAAAATTTAATCCCCGACAATCCGTCTTTGTCTATGCCGCTTCAATTTCTCGGTCCATTTCTCTTATAAGTAAACAATATAAAAACAGCATTTCAAAACATGAGGCTACTTTAAGCATCATAACCGGGTTAAGAGGGTTTTTAGTAATTCAAATAAAATTATTCAATATTATTATCAAAATATTTATTTAAATTTAATGAATAGACTTTTATTCCACACAAAAATATATGTATTTTGAAAATTCAAATTATGGTGAGTAAATGTAGTGTTGTATAAATGTACAATAAAGAAAATAAAAAAGTAGGTATATTAAAATTCATCCTCTGAATATTCTGATGAATTATCTTCGTCTCCTAGATTGATAACGATAGGTTCCACAGTAACGTCAATTAAATTATCGAGTTCCCACATTTTTTCCTCTTCTTTTTGTACATGATGTATACATCTTTGCCAGGCCAGTTATCTGCAGTTACTCGTTCCAAGGAATTTTTTAACAAAATTTTCACGTCACTTAATTTAAACGTCGTATTATTTCGCGCTACTAATATACTAATGTACACCCATTACCTGTTAGCATTAGTGTTACCCGATAATTACTTGAAACGAAATATTACCACGCCCATGGCCGATTCTTATCTCGGGGTTTTATTACTCCTTTTCATTTCCAAACAGACTATAACAAAATTACCTGAAGAAGATTATATTAAGTGTCCCATTTTATAAAACTATGACGATTCGGGAAGAAAAACGGCTCAACCGATCGATTTCAAAATTTACAGGTTTTATGGTCGTGTATTGACTAAAAAAAACCTACAAATATTGGTACTTTTCGCAATATTCGCAAAGTAATCGTTGGTTTTCCAAAACAGCAGAAAAAGTCATTTTTTTGCACTTTTTCAAATTAATGCCGAGTATAAAAATTTTTTTTTCGGAAACATACTAAAAGACTTGAAAAATCCACCTTCCATTCGCTGTACGATCATTATACACCAGGAAAATTAGCGAAAATAAAAGAGAAACTCGAAAAAAGTCCTATCCGCGAGATTATTGTAAAATTGTCTAAAGGAACATAATACAAGACGTCTCTAGTCTCGTGAGTCAAAAAACTTTTATTAGCTAACTTTTCCATTTAAACAAATAAGTGAGGAAAACAGTTTTTTCACTTTGCAGGGAAAACCATCAA